GGAGTCCTGACCACCTTTCCGGCCCCTGCGATGATACTGTCCGTGCCTTAAGGACGTCAGTGCTTCTTAGTGGGGGCTCAGGATTGAGTGTGGATCGAGCCTGCACTCAGATGAATGATGCCAGCCCCTCAGACAAGGAGGACCTGACGCGGGAGGAGAGGCAGCTCAGCAGCCTATTCTCCTGCCTGGTGCTGCCGGGGGCACCTCATGTTCTCTCCAGTCCATGATGCCCCGTTGCAGGAGTCATCCACTCAGTGACAGTGACAGTGGCCACACACCTGCTCTCCCAGGGCCCCTGTGCTTCTGGGCGTTAGTGTGGGGTGGACTGTCCAGGTCGTGGGACTCATGAGGATGCAGTGAGAGCCCCCAGAGCTACTCCTGGAGAGCCTGAAAGAGGCAGACACCCTGAGGAAGCCCACCTGCAGCCCGGGCTCCTGGCCGAAGGTCTCAAGGCCTCCACCAGACATGGGTCACCCACAGCCTTTGGGGCCGCTGTTGCAGTCTCTGCAAGAGGTCACTGACCTCACCGTGCCTCCGGCATGTTCTGAGATGAGCGTGCCAGGGATTGCATCCTGGCTCTACCACTCCCGGGCTGTGTGACCCTAGCAGGTTACTTAACCTGTCTGAGCCCCTCTGTCCCTGCCATGTTGGTTATTTACAAGGATTAGGTAATGGCGGCCAGGCACGGTGGCTCACGCCTGTCATCCCAGCATTTTGGGAGGCTGAGGCAGGGTAATGACTGGAGCCCAGGAGTTCAAGACCAGCCTGGGCAATGTGGGGAAGCCCCGTCTCTACAAAAAAATAGAACAATTAGCCGGCTGTGGTGGCATATGCCTGTGGTCCCAGCTACGCAGGAGGCTGAGGTGGAAGGATCACCTGAGCCCAAGGTCAAGACTGCAGTGAGCCACGATTGTGCCGCCTGCTCCAGCCTTGGCAACAGAACAAGATCCTGTCTCAAAATAAAATAAACTAGATTTATGGGTGTAAGGGGCTTAGCCCAGGACTTGGCCTGCAAGCTGCGGCTATCAGCATCCTGCCCTGGCTGGTGGGAGGGGGATGGGAGGCTTCAGGAATTTGCGTGAACTTGACCTAGAACCTGACCTGAACTCTCCGTTTAGCCACCACCCCTGCTGGGAGGAGGCCAGTGATGGGCTCTGAGATTCTCTCTACAAACCTAAAATACACAGCTGCAGAACTGGCCTTTCCCTGCCCCACATGGCACAGACCAAACATGGGCATCGAGGGTATTTGCTGACTTTGAGACCCATCAGCTTGTGCCCCTTGTCTCCTTAGAAAGCCCAAACACTTGCCCCAGTGTCCCAGGGTCCCCGGTGGGAGGCCCAGCTGCCCTGTTGTTCTGTCCCCACCCTCACTTTGCTGGAGGAGCCCTCTACCTTTGGGGTTCCTGCTATGTATGCTCATTTCAGGGGCGCCGTCCTGCTGTGAAGAGGGAAGCCATTGCTCCGAAACCCCCCAGCAACAGCGGGTTCCTACCTGACGTGCAGCTCGAGGGAAGGTTCCTGTCTTAACACGCTGGGTACTGAGCGAGGAACGCAGCCGTCTCTACCCAGCAGGCTCTGCACGCGGCTTTTTAAAGACATGAGTTATGAATGATTAAATGTGCGGTCACACAGAGGAATGGAACCCATTTGGCCCTGAATGGCTTGTTTAAAAACTTTGGCAATTTTATTCCTGTTTAAAGCTTTGATGTTGCCTCTGTCTCCAAGGAAAGAAACCACATCAGGCTTGTTTAAGAAAAACCCAAGCATTCTTTGCCTGCACCTAAAAAACTTAACTGGTTTCCAGATTTGCCTGAACAGCTGCTCCTGGCCTCATCCCAGCTGAGGGACTCGGGGCTCCTATAGGGCATGAAAGGAAGGGCAGTATTAGTGGGGGAGGGCTCTGTCCCTAAAGAGCAGGGAACAGTGGGCTGGGTGTGACAGTCCCACAAGAGAGGTGGGGGATGCAGCATCCAGGAGGGACCAGCCAGAGCCAGGCCAGCGTCAAGGCCACCGGGCCAGCCCTGCAGCCAGACCAGGACGGGGGCTGCATGGGTGGTGGAAGCTAGAGCTCGCTGAGCTGCAGGACAGAAGGTTCCAGTAGATGGGGGCAGGCAGCTGCTCTGGACAGCCCAGGTGGCAGCAGCAGATTGGCCTGATTGTGACAGAGGGGGACACCTGTGGCCTGGGGTGAAGGGACCACTGTCATTGTTTGTGGCCCCTGCACATGTACCCCCTTTGCTTGTTGGGGACCCCACCAGAAGGAGCAGCCCAGCCTGCCCACGGTGACCAGCTCTGCAGGGCGGTTGTACAAACCCCACTGCCCAGACCCTCCTGGGGACTTGGGGGCCACCAGGGTCCTTGTGCAGATCATCCACTGCTCACACCAGCCCCAGTGCTTTCTGTTGCGTGCATCCGGGAATCCTGACTGAAGCACAGATGTGTCTGTTCATCTCCTAAAAGTGACTCTTCCAAAGCAGGGGGCGGTCCGCAGTGGTTGGTAACCCCAACACCCAGTCTGTCCACTCCCTGCAGGACAGCCTGAGACACGCTTGCTTCACTCCCAGGCAGAATGGCCGCTGAGAAAGCCGGGAATGGTCGTCGTCTTTGTGGTTCATTTGACAAATATTAACGTGCAAAGCTGCTGGGTGCCAGGGAGTTTGTACGCATGAGTCAGAAAGGAGGGGGAGACGAGAGCACAGCCAAGAGGTTCTGAGAAAAGAAGGAAACCCTCTACCAGCCCCAGTGAGGCTCTGAGGAGATGGGGGGGGCGGAGGGGGGCAGTCCCAGTCCCGTCCATAGTGACAGCCGGAGGCCTCTTGGAGGACAGGGCGGCGGAGGCGGGCAGGGGGCGCTGGTGGGATGAATCTCAGGTGGGATTCACCAGAGAAAGCCAGTGGGTGCAGGTGGGATGCCAGGGGCAGTGAGGGGTGGGGGACAAACAGAGGGACAGTTCTCCAAGTGCAGCTGGACAGGCAGCCTGGAATTCCTTCCATGAGTTGAAGAGTCAGCATCTGAGCCCTCCTGAGCTCCCGGGAGCCCCCGGGACAACACTGTCCGCAGTAGGCAGGCTTTCATAGGGGGCATCTTGATGGGGCAGGGGGTGCATCCACAGCGGGCCCACCGGCCCCAGGGTGCACTCACAGTGCTGGTGGATGGCGGAGGTTGGGGGGACACACCTGTGCTGTCAGGAAGCCGCGTGGACTCAGGTGGATACAGAGACTCCTGATGGGTCCCCGGGGTATGGGGTGTTGCTGTTCTGCCCTCAGGTTTCCCAGGGGCAGGTGCAGCTCCCTCTGTGGCCACAAACTCCCATGCTGAGCGCTCATGCCAGGGGTTAAGGATGGACCCACTGGAGTGAGGGGTAGACTCTGCCTTGCCTGCTAGCAGGTCCTCTCCTGAGCTCCGCTGAGGGGCTTTTTCCATCTGCCAGCCTTCCATGCAGGCCCGACCCCTTCCACGTTACTCCCTGGCTTCTTAGGCGAAACATCCCAAATTCAATGCACCTGGCTCTTTGGGAGCCACTCAGGGCTCAGCCTCCCCGTCAGCACCTGCTCTCCCAGCTGCAGACTGGGCCAGTGCCCAGGTGTGTAGTGTGTGGGATCCGTCCACCCTGAAACCAGCCATTGTGCCCTGGAGGGGTGCTCTGTGACAGCACCCCCACCCCACCCACCGGGGCTGCCTGCTGGCCTCCCCCCAGACACCTCCGGGGACATCAGGCCCCTCCCTGAGCTTCCCACCTCCTACCTAGTGTCCAGCCCCGTAGCCCCAAAAGTGGCCAAGTGCTCGCTGGCCCACACCACTTCCGGCTGTGGGACCTGAGACCCAGTTCTGAACCCTCAGTTCCCCCATCCATAAATTGCTGATCGCAGTCAGACCCACTCGGAGGTAGCTGTGTGTGAGAAGCTCCGGGGTGCCCAGCGCAACTATGCATCTTACTCAGCAGTCCAAGGGGCCCCTCGAGCTCACAGCCCTCCCTAGGTCACGTGCCAGAGATTGGTACTCTAGAACCCCTGGCCCAATCTGCATGCCCAAGGGTGGCCGCCTCTCCTTGGCTGGGCTCCCTGGACCCAAGGCTGCAAGGGGCAGCTTGGTGTCCCCACTCATGAGGCCCAGGGTAGGGCCAGGCAGCAGGCTGCAGGGGCTGGGTACCCCCAACGTCTCCCAGTGCAGCCCTGACCTCCCAGTGCCAAGCTCCTTCCAGGAATTTGGAAAGGTCAGGCCAGTAGGGGTGGGGCTGGTGGTGCCCTCTGGGCAGAGGATGCACAGCATGGCCTGGAGGGAGAAGGAGGGGGACCTGGGGACAGTGAGAGGGCCAGGAGCCAAGCCCTAAACAGAGAATGCAAAGCCCCTACCCCCAGCAGCCCTACAGAGTGACCAAGAAAGCGGGGCTCAGCCCTAGGAGGAAGAAGAGGCCTGGTGGGTGGGGGGCCAAGGAGTGTGCTCTCCCTGCCCACCCCCAGCCAGTTTAGCTATAGGCAAAATAAGTGAATTCTGATTCTGTCCAGGGCACGCTGGGCAGGTCACTTTTGCTCTGATGTGTGGCTTGAGGCAGGAAGAGGGAGCACAGTTCCTGCTTCCATTGGTCAGCTCGGTTCATAGCCCACAGATATTCAGACAGGAGACATGCCTGCAGCTCCCAGGCTGGGAGGCCCAGCCCAGCCCAGCCCCAGGCAGCAGCAGAACGGGGGTGGCCCAGTACTGTCTCCAGGCCCCTTTCATGCTGCCTCTGCCTGGGGCAGCCCGTCGCACTGTGGGACAGGAAGCATCCTGGCCCAAGCTGGCACAGGCACTAAGGACCAAGCCACCTTTACCAGGCAGAGAGGGCTCTCAACAGGTCACAGAACAATTGATGAAGAGCATCCGATTGGAGCTGCAGTTGTCCTCTCCAGGGGTCGCTCAGAGGCCCCGCTCTCATGGAGCCTGGGCTGGGGGGTGGGCAGGTCAGCGGTGATGCCCCGGGCCTCTGCTATCCCCTCCTCATGCCCTTGTCCATTGCAGCCCATCACCTCTTCATGGCCACTGCCTGCCAGGAGGCTGACTACGGTGCCCTCCTCCAGAAACTCTGCCTCACCCAGTTCCAGGTGGACATGGAGGCCGTCGGGGAGACGCTGTGGTGTGACTGGGGCAAGACCATCCGGTGAGTCCTATGGCCCCTGGTAGGTAGGACACAGCTGGGGAGGGAGTGGGGGCAAGGAGGGAGGGCTAGACCACATGGGGGTCATGGAGGAACCTCTCTAGACCCCAGAAGGGTTCTTCCCACTGGGAACCAGAATGAAGACAGAGGTGGGGGCCGGTGGCAGGTGGGCATGAAGAGTGATAGTGGGAGGAGGCCACGTCCTCAGTAACCTGGTCTAGGTGGATGGTGGGGCCGTAGGGCAGGGGATGGAGGGTTCAGACTGGGCCATGTCCGGCCAGAGAGGCCCATGACCTCTCCAAGGGCAGGTCCTGGGGAAGGACTGAGGGTGGGGTCTTGAGCTCCAGGTTGGCTGGGTCTCTGACTGGAGCCTGGCCTCAGGGACATCCCTGCTGGTTTGCTCCATCCCTGTGGTTAGGCCAAGGGTGTCCTTCCTGGCCTCACCCTGTCCAGGGCTCAGAGCTTCCAGGAATGGGGCAGGCTGTCACCACCCCCAGCCCCCAGCAGGACGGCTCCAGCCCAGCCCTTCCCCACCTGGCCTGGTCTTCCTGCCCAGGGGCCCTTCTTCCCTCTTGGGCTCCCTCACTGCCTCCCTCAGCCTCCCACGTGCTGGGCCCCCATCAGCAGGCCCAGGCTCCTCTGCCTCGAGAGCAGATATCAGAACTCCGCATGTCCATAATCGACTTCTGAGTTCTTGTTTCTGCTTCCGTGGGAGGCACTGGGGTATCCTGGGGATGCAGTGGGTGAGTAGTGGGGTGAGCAGGGCGTGCGTGGAGCTGACAGACACCGCCTCCCTGCCATGCCACCTTCACACAGAGGTCCGTGTGTGGGTTCACAGCGCAGCACGTGACACACAGGAGATGTGCAAGTCCTGGTACCCCACAGATGCCAAGCGCTTTCCCCAGTGCCTGAGCAAAAGGGAGCCATGGGGACTGGCGGGGAGGCCCAGGGGCAGGGAGGAGGCCCTGGGGAGGGTCTTCATGAAGGAAAAGTTGCACCAAAGTCACACAGGAAGGGTGCATGTGGCTGTCGTGTCCCCTGAGGGTCCAGGACACACCTGGGACATCTCTGTGGGATTGAAGACCCCTGCTTGGGCTCATCACTCTCCCTTGTGGGTTGCAGGCTGGAAGAGGGCATGGGGAGAAAGCCCATGGCCGGGAGTCCCTGAGGCTGGGTGGTTCCCACCCAGGCTCCTCTGAGCCTGGGTTTGGGCCTCCCTCCACCCTCAGAGCCCTGCTGGCCCCAGCCTGCTCTCTTCTCTCACTGAGGCTGGCAGATGAGTGGCCACTGCTTTCTTTTCCCCCAAGCCCTGTGCTCTCTGCCCACTTCGTCCACCCCCAGCGACTCCAGCAGGCCCAGCAGAGTCCGTGCTCAGTACATGGTTGTTGAGGCGACTCTCTACCTTGGGAGCCCAAAATTTTTAAAAACTAGGAAGGCATGGGGTCTATGCAGGTGTGCATACTGGGATTTAAACAGCAGAGGCCGGCGCAGTAGGCCACGCCTGTAATCCCAGCACTTTGGGAGGTGGAGGCGGGCAGATCATGAGGTCAGGAGATTGAGACCATCCTGGCTAACACACTGAAACCCTGGCTCTACTAAAAAAATAAATAAATACAAAAAATTAGCTGGGTGTGGTGGTGCGTGCCTGTAATCCCAGCACTTTGGGAGGTGGAGGCGGGCAGATCATGAGGTCAGGAGATTGAGACCATCCTGGCTAACACACTGAAACCCTGGCTCTACTAAAAAAATAAATAAATACAAAAAATTAGCTGGGTGTGGTGGTGCGTGCCTGTAATCCCAGCACTTTGGGAGGTGGAGGCGGGCAGATCATGAGGTCAGGAGATTGAGACCATCCTGGCTAACACACTGAAACCCTGGCTCTACTAAAAAAATAAATAAATACAAAAAATTAGCTGGGTGTGGTGGTGCGTGCCTGTAATCCCAGCACTTTGGGAGGTGGAGGCGGGCAGATCATGAGGTCAGGAGATTGAGACCATCCTGGCTAACACACTGAAACCCTGGCTCTACTAAAAAAATAAATAAATACAAAAAATTAGCTGGGTGTGGTGGTGCGTGCCTGTAATCCCAGATTCTCAGGAGGCTGAGACAAGAGAATAGCTTGAACCAGGGAGATGAAGGTTGCAGTGAGCTGAGATCCAGCCACTGCACTCCAGCCTGGGCGACAGAGCCTAGGCCCTCAGCAGAGTCTCCTCACCCTACTACTCAAGGCCTCTCAATCTCTTTTTCTAAGCTGAAAACTGAGTAGAGGGGGGAGAGGTTGTTGATCAGAACAGCCTGTTCTTTAGGCTAATTGGCCTCCTGCCACAGCTGAGTCATTTGTATTCAAATTAAAGATGGCATTTTATCATGATCTTTAATAATAAAATTATTATTTTATAGAAGACACAGTGGCGGCCCTGGGGAAAAGGACTCTCCCCTGCCTGCTTGTGTAAGTGATGGTTGATTTGTGTAGATTGATTGCGAACCGAACTGGGAGGCCTAGCAGAAGACAGCAGGGTAACCCTCGCTGGAGTGTTCCACAAGCAGTGATGGGGGGGTGTCCTCAGAAGTGGAAGCCACCACAGATGGCTTCCGACCGTGCCAGAGCTCACACAGGAATAATTAGCACTGAGGCCAGTGAGAGTTCGTCATCCTCACAGCCGAGTGCCAATAGATGGAAATAGAAGGACGGGGAGTTGCTGGGAATTTTCTTTTATTAAAAAAAAGAAAAAAATTCTGGCCAAGCACTGTGGCTCATGCCTGTAATTCCAGCACTTTGGGAGGCCAAGCGGGTGGATCACCTGAGGTCAGGAGTTCAAGACCAGCCTGGCCAACATGGAGAAACACCGTCTCTACCAAAAATATAAAAATTAGCCGAGCTTGGTGGCATGTGCCTGTAGTTCCAGCTACTCGGGAGGCTGAGGCAGGAGAATTCCTTGAACTCGGAGGCAGAGGTTGCGGGGAACTGAGATCCTGCCATTGCACTCTAGCCTGGGTGACAGAGTGAGACTCTGTCTCAGAAAAAAAAAAAAAAATCAAGATAATTTAGGAACCAAGAAGGAAAAGTCCACATCACAGCAGCATCTCAGCACGTTGGACATGCCGGGGTCTGCGTTCGGCAGAATGATGGCCCCCCAGAGATGTCCGTGCCTAATTTCTGGGACCTGTGAATGTGTCACATTACACGGCAAAGGGGAAGGAAGTTACAGACGGAACTGGCAACACTGGTCAGGTGGCCTTGAGATGGGAGATTCTGGATCATCCACGGGTGCCCAGTGCTATCACGAGGTTCCTTAAGTTGGTCCCAGCTCTGACCATTGGACAGCCTTCACGCTGGCTTTTGTGTCCTTTTGGCATTGCCCCGGCCTTTTTTTTTTTTCGAGCACTTTTTTCTTTCTGATACCACGAGATGTTCCAGGCTTCTTTTGTACATTTTCTGCCCAAGCCCTGAAGTCAGCCATTTCTCCAAGGAACCCTGCTTCTTTTTGTTAGAGAACAGTATCTAGAAACCAAGATATATATGTGTGTGTGTGTGTCTATACACACACCCCAGGGATTTAGATGGAACCTGTGAAACCAGCTAGAGGAAAACGTGGGTGAGCCCCTATTTAACCCATGGTATAGAGAAAAGCTGCTAAAACAATATTGTTTAAAAAAATTGGCTTGCTTTGTGTATGTGATGGTTGATTTGTGTAGATCTCGGGCCCAGCAGGCTGGCAGCATTCTTGAGGCAGAATTTCCTAACTCGCTGGGAAGACCTTACCATTGGCTGGGTGAGGCCCCACCCCCAGCATCAAGGATTATCCCCTGTACTTAAAGACGACTGATTATAGATGTTAACCATATCCCCCAAACACCCCCACAGTGACACCTAGATTAGTGTTTGAATAACTTGCTGCCACGCAGCCTGGCCAGGTTGACACACAAAGCTGACCATCCCGCTGGTTCCGGGGGCGGAGCTCTCTGCGCAGAGATGTGTTCAGACAACCGTCCTTGTTCCTCCTCCTCTGGCCATTCCCATTTCTCTCGTTCCTTTCACCCTGTTCCCACCCAGTTCCTGTGGGCAGCTCATCTCGTTCCTTTCACCCTGTTCCCACCCAGTTCCTGTGGGCAGCTCATCTCGTTCCTTTCACCCTGTTCCCACCCAGTTCCTGTGGGCAGCTCATCTCGTCAGTTTCTGCTCTTTCCTTCCTTCCTCTTCTGCTGGAAGGAGCGGATGTCTGCACCTCTCCTTTACCCACTTCTTTCTCATATGAAGGGTGTGTGCTGACAGCACTCCTTTGCACTTTGCTCTTCCTTCACTTAACAGCATAACCTGGAAATCTCTCCTTGTCCATGCAGAGGGAGCCTCCTTCATTTTTACAGCTGTATAGTACTCCACCATGCAGTTTTTCAACCATTTTCCTTCCAGCTGTGGCAGAAGCCAAGCAAGCAGAGGCACTTAGGCTGTGCCCAGTCTCTTCCCCCTTTAGCATCGACGAGAATGGCCTCTGCATCTGTGTTTTCCCAGCACGGGAGCTGCCTGTTCAGAATAGATCCCGGAAGTGGAATCGCAGGACCGAAGGTGAGAGCAGGTGGAGTGTGGCAGGCCCTGCCACGTCCCTCCAGAAGGCTGATGCCAGCTTGCGTTCCCACCGGCAGCATATGGGATGCCCATTTCCCCAGACCCACCAACAGACGGTGTTGTCATACATTAGGATTGTCACTGTCTGATAAGTGAAAGTCGTGTCTCAGCAGCGTGTGAATTTCATTTCTGTACCTGGGAGTGAATCTGAGCATCCTTCATGTGCTCACAGGCCGCCTTGTATCTTTTTGGCAAACTGTTTGCATCTTTTCCTATTTTCTGTCGGGTCCTTTTTCAGAGTTCTTTCGGTGTTAGAGGAGAGGTTTGGCCTTCGTCTCTCGCGGACATTAGATATTTTCTCCCAGTTTGCTGGTTGTTTTTCAGCTTTGTTTTTGGTGTTTTGTTGCCACACAGTTTTTTCAATGGAGTCAGAACCAGC